CCAGAACCCCCCTCCTGCCCAGGGCTCCTCTGCCGGGCAGCTTGAGCTCCAGGGCAGTGACCCTGACGAGCTCCCACGTGCCAGGTGGCTGGACAAGACCCAGGCTCCCCGCCCCCCGCTGCCCCCGCTGCCGCCTGCCTGGGGCTGTCCTGTCCCTCCCTCCGGCAGCCCCGGCTGCGGGCGGGCACCTGACCTTGGCTGGAAACTGGCGCCTGGGCAGAGGAGCCAGGACCTTCCCTGCCCACCCCCTTCCGGCCTCGGCCGCTTTCCCTCCTTCCACTCCCTCTGCTGACTAAGAATAGGAAACTTTGTGTCTGCGGGTAGATGGTGGTGGTGGGAACATAGGCGCACACGCGCAGAACAAACGCGAGAGAGGCACGCAAGCCCTGGACATCCACACGGGGCCACGGGCAGACGGGCACAGAGCCGCAGTCACACGCGCGGCCTTAAGACTCGGTCCTCTTTGCGTCCTGTCGCCCGGTGTGTGCGCTGCGCGTGTGTGCATCTGTGTATATTGTGTATCTCTGTGTTTGTGTATCTGTGCTGTGTGTTTGTCTCTGTACTTGTATGTGCACGTGTGTGTGTGTGTCTTCTGTCTCCTTGTGTTCCCATCACCACCACCCTGGGGAGGGGAGGCGATCCCCCTCCATACACGCCCAGATACACTCTAAAGTACACACGCGTATACACGTAAATGCGTTCACTCCTTCAACAAACATTTGTGGAGCCCCTATTGTACGCCAGGCCATCTTAGGGCCCAGGGGATCCAGCCAGGGACGAGGGAATCAGAAACCCCTGCTGTCTTGGAGCTGGCCCGCTAGTGGAGTTGACAGAGAGTGAACAAGGCACCCGAGTCACATGTAAAGGACACTGGGATGAGACGAACCAAAGAGAAAAGGGAATTCGGGAAGACAGCTGCATATGGAGGGAGGCTCCGACTTTCAACAGGGGGCTCAAGGACGGGGTGACGAGGTGGGGTCTGAGCAGCAGACGTGAAGGAGCAGGGAGTGAGCGGTGGACAGTCTGTCCCAAATAGGCAGGACGTGTGTGATGTGTGCTTCCCAGAAACGCCAGGAGGCCGTGTGGCTAGAACCGAGGCGCGTGACCAAGGGACCAAGGGGTGCGGGCTGGTGCGGGCCGAGCTTATAAGTGACTAAATATCTCTAGATTTACACGGACCCCTGAGGGCCTGTTTCTTAAGTGTGCGTATTAGGTGTATATGCTCCTCTGTGTGTCTGTGTGGCTCGGCGTGGTTGTGTCTGTGCATCTATGTGAGTGTGTATCTCTGCATATGTGTCTGTGTCTTGCTCTGGGTATGTGTGTTTCTGTACGTGAGTGTGTGTTTCTGCGTGTGTCCATGTCTATAACTGTGTGTATTGGTGTATGTGTCTCATGTACATGTACGGGTATGTGTATTTCCATGCGTGCCTATGTATAACTGTGTATCTGTGTCTGTGTGTATGTATTTGTGTGTCTTGGTATGTGAGTGTGTTTCTAGTGCGTCTATGTGTATGTCCATGTGTCTCTGTCTGTGCACAAGTGTGTGTATGTGAGAGTGTCCCTGCGTGTGTCTGCGTGTGTGAGTATGTATTTCTGTGTGTGAGTGTCTGTGCGTGTGTATATACACGTGGATCTCTATCCGTGTGTGTGCGTGCCTGTGTGTGGCTGCACCTTGTGTGTCTGTCTGGCGGGGTGTTAGGGCTGAGGCCTCAGGCCTGTCTTTGTGTTTAAGATGAAGGCTTGTGCTCCTCCCCACACATCTCCGTCCAAGCACGTGCCCCTCTGGGCTGCGCTGACCCCGTCGGGCAGGGCGTGGTAGGGGATGGCCCGGCGTGGCCCAGGAACCCCTCCTCCTTCCCGTCTCTGACACTGGGCCCCCCCTCATATGACTCCGCAGGCCTGAACAAGACGTCTTCTTTCTCCTGTGAAGCCCATAACGCCAAAGGGATCACCACATCCCGCACGGCCACCATCACAGGTGACGGGAAAGGCCGCTGGGGAGCTGGGTGTCAGAGGGTGTAGTGTTCGGGTCAAAGGTCAAGCCTGGGGCGGAGGGCATGGTGGGGAGGTTGGCTCAAAGACCCCCCAGCTCAGTCTCTCTTCTCATCCCCACAGTGCTCCCCCAGCGGCCCCGTGACCTCCACTTGGTTTCCAGCCGGCCCACGGAGCTGGAGGTGGCTTGGACCCCAGGCCTGAGTGGCATCTACTCCCTCACCCACTGCACCCTGCAGGTGAGACTCAGATTTTGCTCACCTCCACCTCAGTCCCCCTTCCACTCGCACCTGCAAGCCTCAGTCTCTCTCTGGGAAACCCCGTCCTGGCCATTTGTGTGTTGAGGGTCAGCAGAGCCTCGAGTTAAGCCAGAGGTCCTGGGTTCAAGTCCTGACTCTACCAGCTGCTGGCTGCATGACCCTGGGCAGGTGACTTAACCTCTCTAGGCCTCAGTTCCCTCATGTACAAAATGGGCATAAAGGCTTGTTGTGAGAATTCAATGAATAATGCAAGTAATGAACTTAATATAGTGTCTGGAACATAGGAAACATGTAATCAACTCTTTGCTGTTTTTGCTTTTTAAAAAGTATTAGTGATATTGACTTCTAGCCAGAATGGGAACCCAGAGCCATCTCTGGGTTCCCCCAGCCCTGACCACTCTGCACTGTCACTGTCTGGGGGTGAATCTGTCTCCCCACTGGACTGTGAGTTCTGGGAGGGCAGGGCCAGGCTGTCTCAGTCACCACTGGGTCTTCATTATTGCCTAGCTCAGAGCCAGACAGATTAGGGAATTTTTGCAGAAACTACTCGACAGCTGAGCAGCTGAGGTGGGCCACACCCAGCCTTCTGCACCTAAGCTGCTCCTCCCCTAGAGTAAAAAAACAAACAAACAAAAAAAACAGCTCTCTGGATATGAGGTCCAGTTCTGGCCGGAAGTTCTCTGCGTTTGGAAGTTGGAGTGAGGGTTGGACGGTGCCCGGGATGAGAGATGACAATTATTAATAATGGCCAACTTTCACTGAGTGTCAGCTATAGGTTGAGCCTTGCGTACGGTTTTACACGCACCCTTTTGTGTGTTCGTGAAGTGCAGTCTACGTTTACACTCGTTTTCCAGATGAGAAAACTAAGGCCCAGAGTAGTTAAGCAACTTGCCCAAGGTCACAGCCAGGAAGTAGCAGAGGTGGGATTTGAACCCTTGTCTCACCAGATCCAAACGGTGGTCCCTACCTCCTTAAAGAACGTTTAGAGCCAGGGCTTGATTAAAATGGAGCTGTCGTTCTTATAATTACAAGCCCTGAACACGGCCTCATTCGCTTGTCATTTTAACCGTGGAAGGTAGTGGCTGTTATCTTCCCATTTTCAAGGTAAGAAACTGAAGCCCAGTGACGGGGAGTGACCGGCTCTCCCCAGTGACTGAAAAATGATGAAACCGATTCAATCTCAGAGTCTGGGCTGATTTGGGAAAACCTCAAATGCCAGGTCAGGTGTCAGCTGTACCCCGACCCCACACCCATCCAGTGTCCACAGGAAAGCAGAAGTGTGTTCTCTTCCCTCTGCAGGTCTCACTTCCTGCTGTGCACAGACTGGGCCAAAGGGTTCAAATAGGAGGGTCATGGGCATCCCAGGGAAAAGGGAAGTGGAAGTGGGTATGGGGAGGCTCGCTGTCTGCATCCTTGTCCTCTTTGTCCCAGAAGAGGTTCCTCTTCCAGTCTGTTGCTGTGGGTCAGAGAGCAGGCGTGGGGACAGCCTCCCCACCATCTGCCCACCAACTCCCTAGGCCTTGGGGTGGTATTGTCTCCCCATGTGGGGGCTGTGTGCCTTTGGGCAAGCGGCTAAACCTCTCTGGGCCCCTGTTTCCTTGTCTGTAAAATAGGAATGAAGAAAAGAAATTGCCACCGTGGGGTGGTGGTAAGAAGTCAGTGAGTTCATCCCAAAAAGAGCTTAGCAGGGTTCCCGGCACATAGGTAGCACCTAAGAAATGTTAGCTGATGTGCAAACCAGTTTGCATGCTGCACAGATGTATTCCCCAGCTGTGGCCATGCCATCCTGATCATGCGGTTCTTGGGGACCAAGTGGGTGTGCCAGCGTGTGCCGCTGTGCAGGGCGTGAGGAGTTGGACACTCGTTGATGGGCAGGCTCACACGCAAGCACGCAAACTACCAATCACGACAAACACTCAATATATACAGGCGCTCCTCTAAACGCTTAGGAGCGTGAGTTCAGTTGACCCTGTGAAGTAGGGAGCCATTGTTTTTCCCGCATTTTACAGATGAAGAAACCGAGACTCAGAGAGGGAACATCTTGCCAGAAATGGCTTTTGCAAGTGATGACAGAGCCACGTGTGTGTGTAGTCAGTCGGGTGGTCTCCTCGCTTCGCAAATGCAGATGCCCGTGCGGCGCTAGCATGAAGCTGCAGCACACACACACACATCCCTGTGAAGTTGTGTAATCACTCTAGGACCGCCACCATCGTGTGTTGTGTGACTGCCTCGTGAGAGTGCGTGGCCATCCTGTCCTCATGCCCTTTCCTCCCCCCAGGCTGTGCTGTCAGACGATGGGGTGGGCATCAGGCTGGGAGAGCCAGACCCCCCGGAGGAGCCCCTCACCTTGCAAGCATCGGTTCCCCCTCACCGACTTCGGCTGGGCAGCCTCCGTCCTCACACCCCTTATCACATCCGTGTGGCGTGTGCCAGTAGCCAGGGCTCTTCACCCTGGACCCACTGGCTTCCCATGGAGACGCCGGAGGGAGGTAAGAAGGAGCCAGGGAGGGGGAGACGTTGCCCGCTGCCCCGCTGGACCTCGCTCACGTCAGTGCCACCCCCAGCATCTCCTCTCACCCACTTAGCCCGTGTGGCCTCCATCTCCTTCCTGTCCAGTCCCCCACTCAGCACAGCCCACTGGCGTCTCTCCCGGACCCTGTCCCTATGCTTCCGTTCCTGGGAGGCCTGCACGAATTGCCCACATGCATGCCCTTTGCACCCTGCCCCCACTTCCTGGGAACAGGGGCGGGGGTCAGGAAGAGGTGGGGGTGCCAGCTTCCCCTCTTCCCTGTCCTCCAGTGCCCCTGGGCCCCCCCGAGAACGTTAGTGCCATGCTGAATGGGAGCCAAGCCCTCGTACGTTGGCAGAAGCCAGCGGCGCCCCTGCAGGGCACCCTGTTAGGGTATCGGCTGGCCTATCGAGGTCAGGACACCCCCGAGGTGGGTGCTGCTGGCTGGGGTCGGGTGGAGGAGCTGAGGAGGAGGGAGATGGGGAGGAGAAGATGATAGGCAGACATGACAGCTGTGCCGGGCCGGGTGGTAGTGTGCAACCCCGCCTAGGACCTAGGAGAGCCGGTCGTGGGAACGTTAGAGAGGCCTGGGGGAGGGGGAGGGAGTGGCCACCCACAAATCATTGTAAAAAGCGGATCAGTCGACACATGTATGTACCCTGATGATTTTACACTCGATAGTTCCACAGCGTCTTGAGGAAGAGGTTCCTTTTCCTACCTTGCACAAAGGTCTTGAGTGAACAGCACCCCTGGGGGCTTGAGAGATGGGGTGGGAATGAGGGTGGAAATTAGAAGGGGACAGAGAGGTGAGGGTGAAAAGCTGGGAGTTCAGCTCTTCGACAAAAGTACCGTGTGCCACACACTGAGCTAGGACCTGAGGACGTGGCGGTGAATGAGACAAAGTCTTGTCCTGGTGGATCTGATGTTTTAGTGGGCACGGGATGGAGCGTAGAGATGAAAGGAGGGAGATTAGGATGAGGGTCGGAAGAGGTAGGGGAGGAGGGGCTGGAGACGAGGAGAGAAAGATGGGGAGTTGAGGTGGGGGGAGGGGTGAAGGCTTCTACGTTAGGGGCCTGAGGCTCCACCCTGACGCCACGTTTGGACGTCTCAGGTACTGATGGACATAGGGCTAAAGCAGGAAGTGACCCTGGAGCTGCGGGGGGACAGAACGGTACCCAACCTGACGGTGTGCGTGGCAGCCTACACCGCCTCTGGGGACGGACCCTGGAGCCTCCCTGTGCCCCTGGAGCCCTGGCGCCCAGGTAACTCCAAAGCCACGCTCGGCTGCCTTCAAGCTCCCCACAAGGACCTTGTCTCTCTCAGATGCCCCTGACTTGCTCCTGGCAACTTTCAGTGTTTCTCCAGTCTAGGCTCTGTGCCTGCCTGCAACCTTACTGAGAGCCTCGCTCCTTCACTCACGTCTCGCCAGACTTGCTGTCCCTGAGCATGTCCTCCCTCTGTCTTTTCTCCTCACAGGGCAAAGACAGCCAATGCACCAGCTGGGTAAGGGCTTTGGCACCTCCTCTCTGCCCTCCTTTCCCTCAGTGCCCAGCGAGGACCCCATTACCCCACACATGCAGTTCGCACCTCCCTTTCGTGTTTCTCAGACTCATTACTCTGATCCTCTCCTTCTTGAGTTTGTGTGGTCCCTGAGTAGCCCAGCACATTGTAGGTACTCGGTGAATGGTAGACGGGTGGGTGGATGGATGGGTGGATGGATGGATGGATGGACAGATAGACAAACCGACTGATGAGTTATCCCCCTCACGTTCATCCCTCTCAAATATTTCTCAACGATTCTCAAATATTCCTCCTACACCCATTGTTCTCTTCTGGCACTGTAATTCATTCTTTAATTCATTCTTCTGTCCTTAAATAGTCCTCGCATGCCTCCCTGCACTTCTTTGCATACCCTTTCCACACTAACTCACCCTCCTTTCACACTCATCCATCATAATCTTTCATCCCTCACACGTCCCTCCCAAACCCAGTGCGTTCGCAAACTGCACACGTTTTGCACGTTCACCATCCATTTCACATGGCGAACATTAAAAAGATGTTCGGTCCACACTGTCTCACACTCTACGACTCTCCTTGCACGCCGACGGGACACTGCTTACACATCACTGCCTCACCCCTAGCCAGTCCTAACCCAGTCCCACTCTGCACGCCCAACTCCTGGCACACTCAGCACACACTCATTCTCTACTCTTTACATAGCCACTACCATCCTTCTGACACACCTTTCCCCTTCACTCCCTCCTCCTCGTCTGTCCTTTTACATGCTCATTGCACACTCTTCTCCATCAAAGTTCATCCTCACAGACAACTGCTCACTCTTTGTATCTAAAGCTCCTTACGTATTCCTCTCCCGTATACCCCAAACTCCTCCGACCCCCCTCTGACGCTCTGTGCTCACTCCTGTGCATACCACACCCCTCTGCACGTTTCTTCCACTCTCACCCCTCGCTTTAGCAAGGCCGTTTCATAGTCATCGCACACTCCTCGAACATACTCATCAGTCGTTTGTCCCAGAAGCCTCACGGTCCTGGCACGTTCTCTGTGCGTGCTTCACGCGCCCATCCTCCACTGCGTGCATTCTCTCCCCTACTCCCGTTTTTCCACACCCTGAGTCTCCCTCCATGCGCAGTCGTCACACATATCACACACCCCCACAGCACTTGAGATTCGCTCACGCCCGCCCCGCGCTCATCCAGCCCATCTTGCATACTCTTAACCCATCCCCCACGAGTCTTTCGCGCCCATCTCACACCCTTTCCACACTCATCACATCCTGCTCAAGTGCGCATTCCACTCTTACCTCACCTCACCCATCCTACGAGTCCCACGCTCCTCCTTTAATGCTTATTCGTATCACAGTGAGCCCTGCCCAGCCCAGTCTCCCTAGATATATCAATGTACCCATCACAGGCCTCCTCAAATATATCCACATCTGCCTCCCCTCAACGTTACCCCCTTGGGTCCCAAGGAGCTAGACTCAGGGCCTCAGCATGACCTGTCCCCTATGCCCCTGACAGTGAGTGAACCCCCAGCCCCCGCCTTCTCATGGCCCTGGTGGTATGTACTGCTGGGAGCCGTTGTGGCCGCCGCCTGCGTCTTCATCTTGACTCTGTTCCTCGTCCACCGGCGGAAGAAGGAAACCCGCTATGGGTGAGTTAGACCTCTGTGGGTAGGGAGGCTAAGGTGGACTGAGATGAAGAGGCTGGAGGTGGGCAGACCAGGAGGAGGCTGGTGCAGGAGGAGAGGTGGCCGAGTATTGGAATGGGGGCGAGGGTCTGGGGAATGAACGGAAGGCAGAAGGCAGCAGTACAAGACATGCTCAACAAGGTCTGGAGCAGACAGCAGGCAGGGCTTGGGGATGGGATGGTGCTCGCTTTTACTGCTGGCAAAGGGAGGGGGTTCCACAGGGTTCTGCGCTGCCCTCACCTCCTCCCCATTTTCCCCAGAGAGGTGTTTGAACCAACAGTGGAGAGGGGTGAGCTGGTGGTCAGATACCGCGTTCGCAAATCCTACAGTCGCCGGACCACTGAAGCCACCTGTAAGTGAACCAACCCTATGCCTCCCTGCCCTGGTTTGAGGATAATGAGTTGGAAGATTTAGGCTTCTATGGATGCGTGAACCAAAAGTTTCTGAGGGCCTTGGAATACTAGTATGTTAGAACCACAGATCCAAGAAACAACGGAATTGTGGAACCACACAGAACTTTAGAATAATAGAATCTTAGACACAGTAAATCTTAGAAAAGCAAATCTCAGAGCCATAGGATCTTAGAGCAACGTGGTGGTGGTGTTGGTGGTGGTGTTGGTGGTGGTGGTGGTGGTGGTGGTGGTGGTGGTGGTGGTGGTGATGATGATGATGAGATGATTATGATGCTGATAATGACAGCTAACCCTAGCACTTCTTATACGACAGGCGCTGTTCTAACTGCTATACACATGTCGCTTTATTTAATCTTTACAATAACCCAGTGAAGTAGGTGCATTATCTCCCCCACTTCACGGATGAGAAAGCTGTGGCACATAGTGGTGAAGTAACTTGCTCAAGACCCCACAGCCTGCCAGTCAGAGAGCTGGGATTCAAACCCAGGCAGTTTCACCCTGACGTCCATCCATCCTCTTAACTGTGTCTTGGAATTATCGAATGGTAGAGAAAAAAACCTATTGAGCTGTTCGCTTATCATTTGTGCAGATTATACTTCAACGAAAAGCTAAGGAATATATTTAACAACTGGTATGGCAGGATGCTGACCAGTCGGGGTGCAAAGTTATGTGCCGAGTTCTAACCTTTCAGCTGCTGCTCTGGGGGAAGGTCCAGGGACTCCAGAGGAGGAGCTAAGCTAGGGGTTGGGGTGCTCAGGGCAGTAGCTATTTCTGAAGTGAATGTAAGAGTATTTCAATAGTTTAACAATGGGTATAAGCTTTATGGAGAGTGTCTGTCGCCTGAATGTCCGCTCAGCTCCGTGGCTCTGTTCACGCCCACCCCCCATGCAGTAAACAGCCTGGGCATCAGTGAGGAACTGAAGGAAAAGCTACGGGATATGATTTTGGCCTAAAAAAATTATAGGCTTGGTACCATAAACCCTTAGGATCTTGAAAATCATAGAATCTTCGAACTGTAGACTGTCCTTTAGAGCAGCGGTCCCCGACCTTTGTGGCACCAGGGACCGGTGAGAATCTAACGCCTGATGATCTGAGGTGGAGCTGTGGCGGTGATGCTGGCGCTGGGGAGAGGCTGCAAACACAGATGAAGCTTCGCTTGCTCACCTGCCGCTCACCTCCTGCTGTGCGGCCTCGTTCCTAGCAGGCCAGGGACTGGTACTGGTCCATGGCCTGGGGATTGGGGACCCCTGTATTAGAGGATTAAAGAGTTATGAAGGGTCCCAGCTAAGGAGGAACATCAGAAGCACCCAGTCAAATCTCTTCATCTTTCCAGTTGGGTAAACTTAAATCCAGAAGGAAAAAGAACAGAGTTAGGTCTCTTCTTAGCCCACAGTGAGAAGACTGCCAGGCCCCAGGGAGATAATGGAAAGGGCTGGGAAAGACATTTATTTAAGAGGAGAAGGAAGAGGAAGCGAGGAGGTCACAGTGACCTAACCGAATAGCATGCAGCACCAGTGCGCAAAGTGTGATCCAGTCCCTGGGGGTCCCCGAGGCCTTTGCAGGGGGCCTGTGAGGTCAAAACTCTTCTCGTCATAATACCAAGACGCTCGTTGCTCTTTTGCACTCTCATTCTCTCATACGCGTTCCGTGGAGTTTTCCAGAAGCTCCCTAATGTATGATGATGTCATCACTCTGTTGGTTGATGGATCACGTGCTCATGTATTCTTTATTTTTTATTTTTTTAAGTGAGGCAACCTTTGGTTGACCTCACAGATTGCAAGGACCTTGTCAGCTTACAATTCCTTATTTTGTATTTTTTACGCCTACAGCACCTGGTCTTCCTAAGGGGTCTCCTATCCAAGTACTAATTAGGCCCGACCCTGCTTAGCTTCTGAGATTAGATGGGATCGGGCTTATTTAGGGTGGCATGGCCATAGACTGTGTATTCTTGTGTTTTAAAAATCTATTCATTTTAACTTTGAATACAGTAAATGTCAATATATGTATAACCTACATAAATGAAAGCTCTCTGCAGCCCTCCATAGGTTTAAGAAGGTAAAGGGGGCCTGAAGCCAATGAGTTTGAGAACTGTTCTTACACAGCAATGAAAACGAAGAAATTACAACTACACACAACTAAACTGTCTCACAGGCATTACGATGAGTGAAAAAAGCCAGACACAAAAGAGAACGTAATGTGTGATTCTGTGTTTACAAATGGATAAGGCTAATCTGTGGTGAGAGAGGTCAGGAAAACGACCCCCTGAGAGGGCAGGTCATGGTCCATTCTCAGTCTGGGCACTAGCTACATTGTTGGGTTTGGTTTGTGAAAACCCACTGAGCTGCTCGCGTATAATTTGTGCACAATATACTTCAATGAAAAGCTAAGGAATATATTTAACAACCGGTATGGCAGGATGCTGACCAATTGGGGAGCAAAGCTGCTGCGCTGGGGGAAGGTCCAGGGACTCCAGAGGAGGAGGCAGGCTAGGGGTGGGGGTTGCTCAGGGCCGCAGCTGTTTCTGAATGAATGTAAGAGTATTTCAGTAGTTTAACGACAGGGATAAGCTTTATGGAAAGTGTCTGTCGCCTGAATGTCCGCTCAGCTCCGTGGCTCTGTTCACGCCCACCTCCCATGCAGTGAACAGCCTGGGCATCAGTGAGGAGCTGAAGGAGAAGCTGCGGGATGTGATGGTGGACCGGCATAAGGTGGCCTTGGGGAAGACCCTGGGAGAAGGTGAGCTTCCGCAGCGCATGCGCGTGTGCGCACACACGCACCCCTGCGCGGTGACGTCCTTCACTTCCCCGCCCCACCCAACCTCAAGAAACCAGTCCCCACGGGCCCCCCCTGATGTCCACGTCTCCCTCTGGTTCCCCACAGGAGAGTTCGGAGCTGTGATGGAGGGCCAGCTCAACCAGGACGACTCCATCCTCAAGGTGGCCGTGAAGACGATGAAGAGTGAGTCTGCGCAGGCACGTGCACACATGTGGGACCCCTACCCCCGGGCACACACGTATTAACTCATTTCATCCTCCCAGATTTACCCCATCCTGTGGCCCCAGGCCCCTGCCCCATGCCACCAAGGAAGCAGAAGTGCAGAAAAGTTAACAGCAAATTAGCCTCACACTACAGAACCCCAGTGTTTCCAGGCAGGAAACGGAGTCCCTGCTAGGTACTTCGACAGAAGGAATTTAGTATGGGGAGATTAGTACGAAGGGGTAGGAAGGCCTGGAGGAACTCCGGGGACCAGCGAGGCGACCTGCAGATGAGCAGCGGTGCATCACGTGCACCCCCACGGCCTGGTACTGGTCCCGGCAGAGGAAGGAAGTGGTGTTACCAGAGCCCACAGCCAGGGACGCCCGGCAGGATTTGGGACTCACAGAATTCGGGGAAACCTTGTGAGAGCTTGAAACACAACAGAGACAGTCACACCAAGGCCATACTGGAAGTAGAAATAGAGAGAGTGAAATAACCCAGGTGCTCCCCTCCTCCTCCCACCTGCCAATCTCCCATCAGTGCTTCCCACTGGCAAACTCCCAGAGGAATCCAGTAGGGAAGGGAGCCTGGGAAATGTAGTTTTTAGGCGCCAGCCCCACGTGATACATAGCAGAACGGGAAAGGTCTGGAATGAGGTACACCTGGCTTTATCATCGATCAGCTGTGTGTTCTCATTCCTCTCTGAGCTGCCCAGTCCTCATGTGGAAAAAGGATCATAATGTCCCTACCTCCTAGGGTGTTGTGAGGTAAAGCGCTTAATGCCTGGGCTGGCACGTAGTACGTGCAGTTGAGGTGGACTGTGCCTATATTATTTACATCATCAGAGAAGGTGGGAGCTGGTCCAGGGTCACACAGCACAGGAAGTCCAGGGCAGGAAGTCCTTTCCACACAGGGAAGAAGCACAGAGGGTCAGGCTGAGGCTAGAGGTAAGGTAGGAATGATCCTTTCTGAATCACAGGGCCTAGAAGCTTGGGTTATGGAGTCATCACTCACCCACTCACTCACCTACTCACTCACTCACTCACTCATTCATTCATTATTGAGCTCCTCCTATGTACCAGGTTATGTTCTTGACTTGAATGTGAATCCCGGCTGTGTGACCTTGCACAAGTCACTTTACCTCGATGAGCCAGTGTGTCCTGAGCTGTAAAAATGGGAATAATCATATGGATGGATCCCCAAGGCTATTGGAGATGCACTGGGATGCAGCCTGGAGTGGTTCGCACACATGGACCCAGAGGCAGAGTGCCTGGCTTTGAACTCTGCCTATTCCGCTTGCAAGCTGTGTGTGCCCTCAGGCATGTTCCTTAACCATGTGTGGCTTGGTTTCCCCATCTTTAAAACATCTTTAGCACCTACAAGGATTAAATGAGTTAATATATGTCCAGTGCTGCGTACAGCGCCTGGCACTTACTAATCACGTTTGATGATGATGACGATGGTGTGAAGGGGGAGGAGGAGTCCTCCCTCCTCGTCCCTCCCCTCCTCCTCACCCACCTTCCTCTCGCCCCCAAGTTGCCATCTGCACAAGGTCGGAGCTGGAGGATTTTCTGAGCGAAGCTGTCTGCATGAAGGAATTCGACCACCCCAACGTCATGAGGCTCATCGGTGAGGGGGTGCAGATTTAGGGGGTCTGTAGGCTCGTGAAGACCCCTCCCTGTGGCACTGGGAAGGTGGAACCTCCAGGCTCCTTGTCACCCCCTCTCTCAGAGCCAGCAAGCTCTCCCCTCCTTCTCTCCCTCAGTTTGGAATGTGACTTCTGACCTTTTCCAGAAATAGCTGAGGTCCCTAGGAGGGCTGGGGAAAAATTCCTGGGAACAGTGCTGGAAATGGCTTCTCTGAAGCTTGGTCCTTGCCACCCCACACGACAATTTGGAGGCCAGATTTGATGGGGAGGGAGAGACACATCTGGAGGAGGGGGCGGCTTCCCCTTCTGTCCACCTGGAGTGACAGGGCTGCCCGGGGGGCTCAGGCGTCTGTTTCCAGGGATCCGAACGAGAGGGTTTCCCAGCACCTGTGGTCATCTTACCGTTCATGAAACATGGAGACCTGCACAGCTTCCTTCTCTATTCCCGGCTCGGGGACCAGCCGGTGGTGAGAGCATTTAATCATCTGGTCCACAAGTATTAATTGAGCACCTACCAGGTACCCAGCCCTGCTCAAACACTGCGAAGACCATGGTCACCAAGAACTTGCTCTCATGGAGCTGTCTTCCATTGGGGGGACCAGGCAATAAACAAGTTAAATAAATAAGCAAGATAATTTGAGTGCTAGGAAGGAAATAGAGTAGGATGAATGATAGGAGGCCGGGCATTCAGTTTCGATGGACAAGGTCTCACCGAGGAGGTGACCTCGAAGGAGCTACCTGGCAGGAGATGGGGAGACCTGGGAGGAAACAGTCCTGGCAGAAGGAACAACATGGGCAAAGGCTTAGAGGTGGGAACAAGCATGATCATTTGAAAACCAGAAAGGAAGCCTCTGGCTGGAGCGTATGTCGAGAGCAAGAACAGTAGAAGATCAAATCGGAGACGAAGGCAGGAAGGAATATATAGGACCTTATTGGAAAGGGGTCGGATTTAATTCTTGAGCCGTGGGCAGGCATTGCAAGGCAGAGCAAGGCACACATAGGACGGGAAAGAGGGAGGAGGGATGGATCTCGGGGACTCTGCTGACCTCTACTCCCTCCTGCCCTGGCCTCCCAGTTCCTGCCCACTCAGATGCTGGTGAAGTTCATGGCAGACATTGCCAGTGGCATGGAGTACCTGAGTACCAAGAGATTCATACACCGGGACCTGGCTGCCAGGAACTGCATGTGAGTGTTGGGCTTTCCAGAGACCATGTCCCCTCTTCGGGGAATAACTTCCCTCCTTCTGAAGATGAAAGAGGAGGCTAGACACACACACATACACCCCTCAGGCAGGTCAAAACTCAGGACTGGGATAGAGAAGTCACCAAGGGGAGTGGGAAGGTCCCTGGAGGAAGTGAGCCTTGAACTGAGATCCTAAAGGAGTATTAGAATGTGGGGAGAGAAGAGGCAAGAGGGCAGACTAAGTAAGCAACATGAGGTAAGCGAAAGGGCAGAGCCGACTGATCTCTGTCCCCCTCCGTGCCGAATGTCTGGCCTAGGGCTGCCTTGCGAAGGGGCCGCATTGGATGAGGAGATCAGACCGCCCCACCAAGCAGAAAATAGGCCAGAACCAGGCCTACGGTGAGGGCAGGCTGTGCGTACGTGTGTGTGTGCGTGTGTAAACACAGGCTTAGAATATTAGTCCCATTATAATGTTGGACTCACAGCTGGAGAACCAGAGAATCTTCTACAGGATGCTTAAATGTTCACAGCTCTTGGGAATATGGAAATGTATTTACTCCTCCAACTTTGTATTTTCAACAATTCCAGTCCTAGAGAAAAGTTGAAAGAATTGCATAATGAACACCCATATATACCCTCCTTGTTGAGATTCTGCCACATGTCTGCCCTCTTGTCTTTCTCCCCTCGGCAATTTGAAAGTAAGTTGCCAAGATAGTGACACTTCACCCCTAAATCTTCAGTAGGTATCTCCTAAGGATAAGGACTTATGCCTAAATAATCATAATTCTGTTATCACACCCCAAAAAATGATTAACAATAACTCCATAACATAACCTAATCCATATTCATATTCTTCCACCGTCCTCCAAAATATCTTTTAAGGGTTATTTTTACCCTGAACCAGGATCTATTCAAGGTCCCAATATTGCATTTGGTTGTTATGCCCCTCTGGTCTCTTTTAATCTAGAATAGTCTCCCCGTCACCACCTTTTTATATTTTATGGCATATTCTTTTGGAAGAGACCCGGCCAGTTATCTTGCAGTAAGTCCTGTATATGTGTCTATTTCCTTGTGGTGCCGTTTGCTCGTTCTTCTGTTCCCTGTATTTCCTGTTAACGAGAAAGTAGACCTAAAGGCTTGGATAGACCAGTCAAAATGGAAACTCGTTTATTTCTTAATTTGGGATGATCCTGGTCAAGTCCCCAGTATAACAATGACACTGGGAATCAGAGTAGAAATCAACCGTCATGCCCTTGTTGCTTTTTCGATAAGTGAAAGTACTGAAATACTTCCTTACCAAGTTGGCAATTGCCCACCACCGCAAGACTGCCATGAGCTCCACAGCCACCAGCCTAGATGCCTGAGCATCGGGCCCTCCCCACCCCCCTTCCATGACCCTCTGGACTTCTCCAGGACCCAGGAGTTAAAGTTTAACTCCTAGCATAGCAGGGGTCTCCATGGTCTCTGCTGATTGGTTAAGGCCCAAGCCCATCGCCCTGGCTGGAAATCATCAATTCTTAAAAAAACAGAACCCCGGAAACCCAGACAGAAGCCATCAGGGAGTCTTCTATTTCTGTAAAGCACAAAAAAGAAGCAAAAGTAATCCACACCATTAGAAGTGAAGATCGGAGAAGTCCTCGGAGGGCTAGTTATAGGAAGGGAGGACTGGTAATGAGTTTCTTTCTTTTTCGTACTTAAAAAAATCGATGTGCACAATTGAGCTGTTTGCACTGAATAAAGTTTCCTTCAAAAAAAAATTGACGTATATTTTACATACACTAAAATATGCACATCTTAATGAATGGGTGCAGCTTAATGTTTACATGTCTATAGACCCATGTAAACAACGGCCACTGGCTCAACAGAAAGCACATTTCTGGGCCCCTGCCAGCCCCCTAATACCCTTCCCAGTTGCTGCCCCAAGGGATGGATACGAGGCATAACCACTCTTCTGGACTTCTGTCACCTGTTCTTAAATGACTTATAAATGGAATCGTGCAGTTTGTACTCCTTTGTGTCCGGCTTCTTTCGCTCAGCATGACGTTTTTTAGGTTAGTCCATATCGTGTGTGCATTGGTAATTTTGTTCTTTTTCTTTACTGTGCGATATTCCTTATATGATGTCCCACGATGTTCTGTTTCTTGATCTGGGTGCTGCTGGTTCCACAGGTGTGTTTGTGAAAATTCAGTGAGCTGCTCACTTACAGTTTGTGCAAGTTTCTGTATATGTGGTATACGTCAAGAAAACAGTTTTGTTTTGTTTTTAAATCGGAGAATCAAACCTAAGGAGCCTAAGAAGGACCTTAGAATCTGGGGCAAGGAAAGGAGACCGATCCCTACCCTCGAGCAGGACAGCCAGAGCTGGGAGGTGGAGATGCGCCTGAGAGTGAGGGCAGGCTTCCTGGTGGAGGGGGCCAGTGCCGTCACCCTGTTCCTCTCCCCAACCCGGGCAGGCTGAACGAGAACATGTCTGTCTGTGTGGCGGACTTTGGGCTCTCCAAGAAGATCTACAACGGGGACTACTACCGCCAGGGCCGCATCGCCAAGATGCCCGTCAAGTGGATCGCTATAGAGAGCCTGGCCGACCGCGTCTACACCAGCAAGAGCGATGTGGTACGTCTGCCCATAATGGGCACGGGGACCGGCGGTAGGGCGTGGCCTAATCAGCTCGCGGTGCACCTGGGCGCGCAGGGGCCCACCCACGTCGGGGATGTGGCGGGAGACTGTGAACCCGGGTATGGTCACGCTGGAAATAGGTACAGGCTCACGTGTGCAGGGTGGTAGCTTCTAAGTGGGATGTGTGGACAGTTCAGGTTAGGAGAGACAGCGATATGTAGACATGTACATAGCCAGGTCACGGAGGGTGATACACGAGACCATGTGTCTGTTAAGTGTGTAAATGTGTGCATAGGTGAGCATGTCTGTGTGTGCACAAAAGTTACCTCTGAGTGTATACCTGTGCGGGAGTGGTTCTGTGAATAGCTATGATGCGTCCACAAAGACAGCTATGTATGCATGTGTACATAAATGTGCCTGTACCTGTGACCTGTGTGCGGGCGGTGTCTCTGTGCTGGGGACACTCTCTAATTATCTCCCCTCTGCCCTGCCACAGTGGTCCTTCGGGGTGACCATGTGGGAGATTGCCACACGGGGCCAAACCCCATATCCAGGAGTGGAGAACAGCGAGATTTACGACTATCTGCGCCAGGGGAATCGCCTGAAGCAGCCGGTGGACTGTCTGGACGGGCTGTGAGGACCCTAGGAACCCCCACCCAACCCCAGACTTCACTCCCGAACCCGGAGCAGCCCACACTGGCCCTGACGTTTGCAGGACCCTGTAAAACCTGCACAGACTCCCTCAGACTGTTGGGAAGGCCACTCGCCCCCTCACCGACACTCTCTGCAGGACCACTACTAGTCCACGGGGTCAATTAGCAAAAGGCTCTCTTTTTTTCCTTTGCCTTGTGTGTGGAGTGCAGGCTAGATCGTTCCCTTCGGCCAGGTGTTCATGGGCAGTAAATAGCTGTACCACCTTACCTGGCAGCCCTGCCTCTGAGAGCCCCACTCTCCCCAAATTCTAATCCATCCCAGACTCCCGAGCACCCACCCACACATCCCCCAGATGCCCTTCAGCACCCAGAACCCTCTGCAAAACCCTCCAGGTTATTATATTGAGCTTCTCCAGACTCAGTTCTCTTCTGAGATGTTCTTGGGCTCCTTTAGGACAGTGCTTATCAGACTGTGTCATCTGTTGGCACCCAGAAGAGCAGAACATTTATCCAGCACTTGGGGAGGGGGAAGGAAGATGTTGCTCAGGTCAGGAGGGGACAGCCTGGGGTTGCAGACTCCTCAGGTCCTCCTTGGTGCTTTAAAAGCTAAGGGGAGTAAAAAAAAAAAAAAAAAAAAAAAAATAGCTAATGCTTCTAAGAACTTACCAGAAGGCACTGTTTTAGCTGCTTTGCATATATTATTAACTCATTTGGTTCTTACCATGGTCATGTGAGGTGGGTTGATACCATTATTATTCCCATTTGTAGATAAGGAAACTGAGGCCCACAGAGAGGGTAAGTCACTTGCCAAACGCTGCATAATGGGTGTATTAGTTAACTATACCCCCAAGTCCAATACCTTAAAACCACAAGAATGTATCACCTCACACAGTTTCTGAAGGTCAGCAGTCCGGGAACAGCTTAGCAGGGTGATTCTGAATCAGGGTTTCTAATGAGGTTACAGTCAAGATGGGGCTGCAGCCATCTGAAGATCGGGAAGAGAAGATCGCTTTCAAGGTAGCTCACTTGCATGGCTGCGGCGGAGGAGGCCTCAGTTCCTTGCTCTGTGGACCCCGTCCTGGCCTACCCCACAGGAGCACTGCAAGAGGAAAAGCAAAGACGTAGCCACAGTGCCTTTTACAGGCTAGCGTCGCAATGCCTTTTAAAGGCTAGTGTCACATTACAGACGTTACATTCACAGGGACGGCTGCTGAGTTGGAATCGAGTCACTAGATCCAGCCTGCAGTCAAGGGGAGAGAAATTGGGCTTCATCTTTTGAAGGGAGGAATGTCAAAGAATTTGCACACATATTTTAAACCAACACAGCTTGCAGGGTTTGATGCCAGAGTCTGTTCTGGGGAGACACACCGGAAAGCTCTGCTCTAGCAAACCATCACCAGAATACTACCCCATACTCAAAGGGGTGTCCCAAGATGCTTTCCAGCTCCTGAGCATCCTAGAAACCCCTCAGAAACTCTTGAGGATTCCCTAATCCCCACAGATGCCCCCAAACTGCTCTAGTTACCTCCAGTCCCATGAAATGTCCCCCAGTCCTGAGTGTCCTAAATTGCCCCCAAACTCCCAGAACAATCCCCTTCTAAGCCCCTGCTCAATCTCCCATCCCCTACTTTGCTGTCCTAGGTACGCGCTGATGTCCCGGTGCTGGGAGCTGAACCCCCAAGACCGGCCGAGTTTTGCAGAGCTGCGCGAAGATCTGGAGAACGCTCTGAAGGCCCTGCCCCCTGTCCAGGAGCCCGATGAAATCCTCTATGTCAACATGGATGAGGGTGGGAGTCGTGCCGAACCCCTTGGAGCTGCCGGAGGAGCTGACCCCCCACCACAGCCTGAGTCTAAGGATTCCTGCAGCTGCCTCACTGCGGCCGAGGTCCATCCTGCTGGACGCTATGTCCTCTGCCCTTCTACAGCCCCCGGCCCCACACTGCCTGCTGACAGGGGCTCCCCAACACCCCCAGGGCAGGAGGATGGAGCCTGAGACAACCCTCCACCCCAGGACTCCCTCTCAGGACCCAAGCTAGGCACTGCCACTGGGGGACAACCCCCCCCCACCACTCCTTCCCCATTCCAGGCCTTACCCCTAACCACAGCCCTCTCTTCCTACCTGCTCCATTTCCATCCCACACAGATCCTCTCCCTTTCCACCCCGTAGTGTCCCCTTGTGTACCAGAAAGGGGTTGGTCTGCAATCTCTAAGGGTCCTCCTAGGTCTAACATTCCAAGATTCTGGATTCTAAGGTTTAAAGAATCTAGATTCAAAGGTTCTAGGTTTTAAAGATGCTATGAGTCTTTGGCTCTAAGGACCTGAAATTCCAAAGTCTCTAATTCTAAAGTGCTAAGGTTCTAGAGATGGAAGTTCTAAGGCCTATATTCTAAAACTCTGAAATTCTATGGCTCTAGATTTTTCTGGTTTTAAGGTTCTTGATAAAGCCTGTAAGTTTTTAATTTCTAAAGTTCTAAGACTCTAGGTCTAGGATCTAAGACTCTGATTTTAGATTTTATTTTCCTTAGGCTATGAGATTCTTGATTCTAAAATCCTACAATTCTAGACATGGAGGTTTTAAGGCCTAAAATTTGATGTTCCTATCCTCTTAGAGTACAAGAGTCTAGATCATAAGGCTTCAAAATTTCATCTCAAGTTCTAAGATTCTGATGGTCAATTATAGGCTCTAAGGTTTTATGATCCTCAAAGCTCTTATTATAAGATTCTGGATCCTAAAGGTCTAAGATTCTAGAATCTTCAATTCAAAAGTTCAAGAATCTACAGAGGGAGGTTCTAAGGTCTAATGTTCTAAGATGCGATATTCTAAGACTTAGTCTAAGAACCTAGATTCTGTGTCTCAGATTTGAGATATGTGCTTCAAGAGTCTAGATTATTAAACTCTAAGATTCCAATGCTGTTCTGTTCTATGTTCCGAGATACTTTAGGTTCTATTGGTCCAAGATTCTGGATCCTCAGCAACCAACGTATAAGACTCTACAGTTAGTTGTGACTAACTAGATACCAAAGTTCTAATTATTTCTAATGTTGGACGCCTTTAGTTTCTACGCTGCATTCTGACTTTCTAGGATTTTAATTAGGGATCCAAGACTCCACAATATTAAATCTTAAGATTCTAGACACTGTAGTTTTAAGATTCAAAAGGTCTACAGGTCTAGAATTCCAAGGTACAATTCGAGGTTCTAACCTTATAGTATTCTTCTGTGTGACCCTCTTATTCTTAGCCACCTCTGCTTCCTGCTCCCCTCGTGTGCCCCACTTCAAGCCCGTGCAATGCATTAGGGATGCCTCTTTTCCCCAGGGACAATCTTCCTCTTTTTGGGCCATGCTGCCCCTATGAGCCAGTCCCTCTTGTCCTCTGTACAGAGTGAAGACTCTGGCGCCTCCAGAGGGGCTCAGATCACATTAAACTTTGTAACCATGCTTCTGTCTATTGTCTTCTCTCAGAAGTCATGTGGTCCCTCTCCCTGGCAACTCAGTTTTCCCCATTCATAAAAAGAAGGGCTTGGTGGGGTCTAGGAGTTTTCCCCTCACTCAAGAGGGTAGAAATGAACATACACATAGACAAAAAGACATGCAAGCAAAGAAATGCAGACTCTCTGAAACTCCTAGTGAGAAACAGGCACACAGATACTCATAAGGTCACACAGAGATATCCACGCCTCAAAGACACACGAATTAATGGACATATTGAGGCACACCTGGTCACAAAAACAGACACAAATTCAGACACAGTAACAGACACAGAAAATTACAGATACAGTCGTCATGGAAGATAATCCTTACCTGCTCCTTCTTTGGAGGGAAGATTAGAACATGATGATTGGAGAAAAAAATTACAGATACAAATATATGCACAGGCAGATACCAGAAATAGAAAGAAACTAGAGTAACAGATACACGAAGAGTAAAGCGATACAAATACCCAGAGACATATAGAGTACAACAGGTACTCACAGACCTAAACGTTCAGATTCATATAGAAACACAGGCACAGAAAACCGCCAATAATCACTGGCTCACAAAGGAACTCCTGCCAAGATGACACTGTGTTTTGCACGCATCGCGGGGCACACGTTTCTGGGTGTGTCCAGCAGATGGAGGACCCCTTGGCAGCGCCCGGACGCCCTCCGGTGGCGGCTCTTGAGAACCCAGAACAGTTCAATCCCGGCCACAAACTTTTAAAAAATAAATCGTTGTGGGAAGCTGGGAGGAGAAAGGAAGTCGGACGTGGGCGAGGGGCGGGGTGTCTGGACTGGAACCTCCGGGCCCACGTGAGTGTCTGTCCCGCTTCTGAGTGGATGCTGTGTATCTAGGTTGCCGTAGTGTAAGCTCGTAGTGTAACTGCCCAGTGTGTCTTTATCATTTGATGCAGCTTGCCCATGCGGACCTTAGCGGACGCATCTGCATTGCAGTTCGGTGTATTATCCCCTGAATTGATGCATCTGATACGACCTCACGGTCATTTATTTATCTGTGTCGTGTGTGCCTTTGTCTAAGTAGAGGGTGTGTGTAGGCTTTTATGGATTTAAGGTAAGGCTGAATGGGCAGCCGGCGTTTGCATTGTATATCTCGGTTGTGTATCTTACAGACGTTTTGTGTCATTTGAGTTAGAGGCGAGAGGTGGTGCAGCGTTAGACACTGCGAAACTGTGGTGTTTGTATTTAGTGGCGTAAGGCTTAGCTACGGACCCTTGTGTTTGAGCTTATCAGTACAGACGCCAAATAGCCAGATCTACTGAACAGCAATTTAGAGGATTTGTGGTAGAGATCCGCGAACTTCTGGAGGTCTTCCCCGAGGGGAAGGCCCTATGGTCGCGTGCAAAGCGCCCATTCCACGTAAAATACCAACCATAGAGAAAGACGGCAGGGAAGCTAGGATCGTGGAAAAGAGTCTCCCTATCAGATGTTCTATTAAGGGAAGAGGGTGCGATTTCTTTAACGACTTTTCTCCCGTTGTTAGTCTAGCCTCTATTTTCAAACCTTCAGGACTCTCTGAAGTCAAAGGGTTGCTTTTCATAAAGGCAATTGAGTTTCTTCCAGATTAAGAATAATTCATTTATTAATCTCTATTTCTATACCTCCCTCCACAGCAAAATTTGTGAGCCGGTCCGCTGAAGAAAGGCCAATCTGGTTAGTCTTTCCTAAAGCGATCCAACTGTCCGAGCTTTAGTGAGATAAGACAATAACTGCGATTGGTGAGCAGATTGTTTTGAAACCGCCCTAACGGCAAGGGGCGGGCCTTTCGTGAATTCACCTCTTTCCGGTTTCTTAAAGGCAATAGGGAAGGGGGAGGTGTCTGCCGACCCTCCGTTTGATTGGTTCTGGCGGACTCCTCTAGGGGCGAGAGATCTAGACCCATCAGAATATGTGTTACTGAGACACTAGTTTGATGAAGGGGCTGCGCAGGAAAGGCCGTGGGGCACGCTCTTTCCGAGATCTCATCGCTGATTGGCCCAAGTCCTTACTCCCTTTCCCTCATTTGACCCTACGGGAGCGAGGGCACGGGCGCTACCCAATCACTATGCGCGCCGCCTCCCGTCTTTTCCCGCCCTCCGCTCAGGCCGCGGCATCGACGTAGGCCAACGCTTCCTCCCGGGCGCTCCTGAGCCCTTTCGTTGCCGTTTTTTTGAAAGCCGCTGTCTGATTGGCTCAGTCCCCGGGCCCGCGCCCGTTGCCCCCATACAGTGGCCAATTGGCACCTATGTTGCATCGCAAGAAACCGCGGAAGTGGGGGAGGCGGCGGCGGCGGCCATTTTGAGCTGCTGCCGCCATTGGAGTGGGCCCCCCCCCTTTCCCCCTTCGCCTCCTGACAGGAAAGGTTTAAGGGGGACAGAGCCCTGGGAGGCCGGGCCAGGCTCGGGGGCCGCCCCGGGGGCCCGGGCCATGGATGTGCGCCGTCTGAAGGTGAACGAACTTCGCGAGGAGCTGCAGCGCCGCGGCCTGGACACTCGCGGCCTCAAGGCCGAGCTTGCTGAGCGGCTGCAGGCGGCGCTGGAGGCCGAGGAGCCCGACGACGAGCGGGAGCTCGAGGCCGACGACGAACCGGGGCGACCCGGGCACAGCAACGAGGAGGTCGAGACCGAGGGGGGCTCCGAGCTGGAGGGGACCGCGCAGCCACCGCCGCCCGGGCTGCAGCCGCACCCGGAGCCCGGCGGCTACTCGGGGCCGGACGGACATTGTGAGAGTGCGCGGGGCGGGGACCGGGAAGCCCGGAGTCCGGGCCGAGGAAGGGCTGTGGGACGTGGGAATCCGGCGCTCGAGGTCGGGGAGACGGTCTGAGGATTGGGGGATCCCGCTACCCGCCGCTGAAAAGGATCTGGGGTGAAGGGCCTAGGGACGGCTGGAGGGTGGATCCTGGCATTCGGTACAGGGAAGATACTGAGAGTGGGGGCTCTCGGTTTCGGAGATGAGTAAAGTCCGGGGGAGGGGGGAAGGCGAGGATTCTGGAGCCTAGCATTCGGAGACCGGAAGCCGTGGTTTCTGGAGCTGGAGAGAGTCGGAAGAACAAGAGGTTTTCTCTTCGGGGGCCGAGGAAGGTCTTGGAAAGGATGGTGATCCTAGAGTTTGGAGCTGAGTGGTCCTGGGGGCTGTGCTAGCTCAGCTTGCGGGCTGGGCTTTGGGAGCCTTGTTTTCAGGGCTCGGGAAGGAATCACCAGGTGTCCGGGGCCAGGAGAGTTTCGAGGATGGAGGATCCTGGAGTTTGCTGCTGGATGGAATAACGGGAAGTCTGATATATGCTACTGGGGTGGGTTGGTGAGATGGAGGTCCTGAGGTCTGGCTGGAGAGGGTCCGATGGAGTGGATGCTCTGGTGTTTGGCTGGTGAGCATTTAGGGGATGTGGGTGACCACGTGATTGGACTGTGGGGGACCCACATCTGTCTGATGATGGCCTGAGGGACTGAGATCCAGGGCTGGAGACCGACCAACTTTGAGGCAGGGGCAATTTGGGCATTTGGGGCTGGAAAATCTGGGGACCTTCTTGTTGACTTCTAGAGCTGATATAGGAAACCTTGGTGTCGGGAGGCTGGCAAGGGAGGGAAGGATGTGTCACTGGACAACGGACCTAGAGGTCCAGATCTGGCAAGGCTCTGAGGACAGATAACTCAGTGGCTACTGCTGAATGGTCTTGGATGAACAATTTGGAGGACAGGGGTGGGTGGGATGGGGCAGATAACAAGTTGGTGGAGTTTGAAGTCCGTGGAGTATCTGGGGGACATAGGATCCTTGTGTCCAGCACAGGAGTGTGTAGCTGATCTAGCAAATATGGGGGAGGGGAGAGTGTGTAGGATGTGGAAAAAGAAAGAAAACCTGTAGACTGGGGGAGGAGGGGTTCCGGGGCTGAGAGGGCTCCTTGGTCCCCAAAGCAGTTATTTGTGTGCCCAGGGTTTGCGGGGGTGGAGGGGTGGGCTCCAGAGGTAGCAGGGGAACCTCCATCATTCAGAAGGTATGACTCAGAATGAGGAGGGATAGGGTAGATCTGTGATTGTCTGACAATTGGAGACCCTGGGATAGAAAGGGCGTAAATCAAATTAGAAAAGGGTGGCTTTCCAGCAGGACTGGGGAGTGGGGATCAGAGAGATTAAGGAGTAAAAAGAGAGGACTCTGACATCCAGAACTTGTGGTATTTCTCTGAAAAAAGGGCACCCTGGGCCTTGGCTGAGGGAATGAGAACAAGGAGGTCAGGGAAAAGACAAGATTTGGGCTTGGCACTGGGTACTTAATTGTTCCTGAGAGATGGGATCTCCTGGAAGAGAGGCAAGTTGAGTGTAGATTCCGGGTGGAGGGTGGCCTGGGGGTTGTCCAGGACTCAGGTGCTGGGAACAGTACTTCCCCTGGCAGAGACCTGTGAAAGAAGGAGTAGCCCAGTGTGCAGGTCTAGGGCAGGAGAGACCCTGGCAGGAGTGCCTAGGAAGAAGGGCCAGTGGCCAGAGGTGTGTCAGAGGAAAGCGAGGTAGGTGCTTCAGAGCTCAGACTCCAGACTCTCAGACTTTTTTCAAATAAGGCTTCATAACTTGGGCAGGTCACTTCACCTCTGTGAGCCCTGGTTTCCTTGTGTGTACAATAGGGATAATACTAGTGCCCGCCTGGATTATAATGGATAAGATCACATGTATAAGGGGCTTAGCACTAGGCCTGCTTTTTTTTAGGAGTGGATGTTTTAGAGAGTGGAGAAGGGCCCCAGAATCACAAGTTCTCTGGGCGAGGCTGCCTCTGTGGACACAGGAGAGAGTCTCAGGAAGATAGATGTGAGGCTTTGTGGAAAGAGCACTGTGCTTGGAGTCTGGGAGAAGTAGAATTGTTTGAAAGGGCTCCATATATTCCAGTTAAGGAAATAATCCATTTCTTTCTCTCTCCCCTACAACAAAATCCTTTGCGCCCCCTTCATGCCCCCTCCAACTCTTCCTTCATCTCCAGTAAACAGACCTGTCGCAAACTACATGATCTGTGACTTTCTTCCCTTTGGGCTGCACCTGTTCTGTGCCCAGACGTATTTGTCCTCTGAGAAAGGATCCAGTCGGTTAGCAAGTTGCAGAATAATCTCCTTCCCTGTGGTTCTGCCCCACTGGTCCTGGCACAGCCAGTAGTAGGTCCCTCGAGGCGCTTGGCAGAGCTGGCCCCTGGAGTGGAGAGAGAGCCTACCTGCTGCTCATCCTAGGTTTCCCAACTTTGCAGGTTTGGCTGCAAGGTTCTTCCTGAGGGGGTTTGGGGTTTGGTACTCTGGTTTTAGTCCCACCTCTGAGAACCCCATGAATGTTTTCGTCATTCTCATCACTTATCTGTTACTTATCTGGGTTCCTGTCTTAGTTTTTGGTACTTCTTTGTAGCCCTTAACACAATCATAGTTTTGTGTGTGTGAACATTTG